ATTTTCTAATATTTGTATGTGCCGTATGCTCTACACTAGTTTCCAACGTACTAGTTTGTTGGGAAGTTTTTTTTTTTTTTTTTTTTTTTTTCCTTAAATACTAATTTTTGACGTGTTGTATGTTAGTAATTTTTTATATTATTTTAATTTTCATATTTTTAACAAACTTATTCACGTATCATTCACTACATGATGATTTAAAAAAAAAAAAAAAAACAAAACAAAAACTTGTAATACGGTCCTACACCAATTTTACAAGAAATTGTGAAGTAATATTTTAGTTTAGTCAAATTTTTACTTTTGAGCTAATTTTTGTGCTTGAGTTAAGAACTTAACTTGAGTGTTGTATCATTTGATGCTTGCATTGAGAAGCTGGTGCGTGGCAGAAAAGGATTACCCGGTGCTTGCTAAAATTTAAAGAGAACTAAGGAGAGTTCATATCCACCGCATGTGGGGAAATAAAGGGTTACTTGGTGCCATGCAAGAAAATTATGAAGCGTGAGCTAAATATGATGAAATTATTCTTTCCCCTCAATATTATTATCTTTGTTAGGGGAGTTAGGGCAACCCTACTTGCCTTACGTGGTCTACCCCCCCTCCCCCCAACCTAGAGGGTTCCTCTAGATGCAACTAGAGAGTCTACATTTACACTTCTTGACATGATGCCTGAGGATTTGCATGTGTACTTCTCAACCCAAGGACGTGTGTACTTACTGACCCCTATGTTAGTGGACTTCTTGAGGGTAGATAGGTCAACTTTACACTCACCTTACAAATTGTCACATCAACAACTTACACGTGTCATGACCGATCTAAGTGTAATCAATGTATGTCATGTCAACTGTGCCACTATTTTGTCATCATTATGTCTCTTTGCCACTAAATATAAATAGAGCATTCTACCTAATATGAGGGGTGGCTTCTTCTCCCAACTTGTATTGTGCCAATAGGGTTGGACCCTTGCTTCTCAATGCAACCTCATCACTCCCTTTTACATTCACTCCTACAATGTAGGTTAACCCCGAGTTAATTTACGCTATCAATTTCTATTTCTTCCCTTATGGCCTGTTTGGTTCACGGAATAGGCCGGGAATGGCATAGCATTCCCAGTAATAGACCTATTCCTTTGTTTGGTAACAGTTTCTATTACCAGGAATAATATTGCTAGTAATAGCTTATTACCTCAAATAAGGTAATAGCTATTACCAGGGCCCCCCGGTATTAACCTATTTCTGAGTACTCAGGAATAGATTTTATATTTTATTTCCAATTGTACCCTTCCTCCCTTTCTCTCTGTTTTGCATCTCTTTCAAATGGATTTTTTTTTTCTCAGGCTTGCCTACAATGTTCCGATGATCTAAACCGACAGTTTTCTCCGCCTCATCGAGGCGATCACGGGCTGGGAGGCCGACAACTCATCTCTGTAGCTGTTGGCAAGCAAGGAAAATTGTTGTTAGCATCCTGCATTGAATTTTACAATTATATTTCAAATAATGCAATAAAAGAAGGCTAAATAAATAAAGATGAAAATAGCTTTCCCAAGGAGACATAGAACAAATTCTGAATACAACTGAACAACACATCTCCTAAAATAAAAATGAAATAAAAGGGCTGAGCACAACAAGAAAGCTTTCACCATCTTTTTTCTTCTTTTTAATTTATCCTAAATGAGGATAATAAAAACTAAAACAACTCCAGAAAACTCTTTTCATAGTTGTGGATGAACAACCTTTAATTAGGAGAGACTGCAGCATGAAAGACCTCCTCGTAAGTAGAAAATACATTTTAACAAATTCTTAGCAGTTCAATACTACGAGTGTATCTAACCCCACAACCAAATTGGGAATAAGGCTTAGTTGAGCAAAGTAGCAAGGCAGTGTCGACACCACCAGTAGTTGTCGCAACCGGCAGCTCGCGACTGACCTCAAGAGCCTGAGGCTGTCGACGAGCATCCTGCCCGGCGTGAAGTCTGCATGCAGCATATCCCAGAAGTCCTCTCCGTTCTCCGATCACAAATTAGAGGTGAGGGGTCTAATTGGCCGCGAGCGGTAGAGCGGACTCCGCTAATTCCGGACACCGGCGATCCTCAATCTGGACACGGGTAACAGTGCCGTTAGGCATTTTTTTTTTTTTTTTTAAATCAGATTCGTTATAGGAGTATATGTTCATAATTGTAAGTTGGTGCGTGGCAGAAAAGGATTACCCGGTGCTTGATAAAATTTAAAGAGAACTAAGGAGAGTTCATATCCACCGCATGTGGGGAAATAAAGGGTTACTTGGTGCCATGCAAGAAAATTATGAAGCGTGAGCTAAATATGATGAAATTATTCTTTCCCCTCAATATTATTATCTTTGTTAGAGGAGTTAGGGCAACCCTACTTGCCTTACGTGGTCTACCCCCCTCCCCCCAACCTAGAGGGTTCCTCTAGATGCAACTAGAGAGTCTACATTCACACTTCTTGACATGAGGCCTGAGGATTTGTATGTGTACTTCTCAACCCAAGGACGTGTGTACTTACTGACCCCTATGTTAGTGGACTTCTTGAGGGTAGATAGGTCAACTTTACACTCACCTTACAAATTGTCACATCAACAACTTACACGTGTCATGACCGATCTAAGTGTAATCAATGTATGTCATGTCAACAATGCCACTATTTTGTCATCATTATGTCTCTTTGCCACTAAATATAAATAGAGCATTCTACCTAATATGAGGGGTGGCTTCTTCTCCCAACTTGTATTGTGCCAATAGGGTTGGACCCTTGCTTCTCAATGCAACCTCATCACTCCCTTTTACATTCACTCCTACAATGTAGGTTAACCCCGAGTTAATTTACGCTATCAATTTCTATTTCTTCCCTTATTTCTATTTCTTCCCTATGTCCTGTTAGGTTCACGGAATAGGCCGGGAATGACATAGCATTCCCAGTAATAGGCCTATTCCTTTGTTTGGTAACAGTTTCTATTACCAGGAATAATATTCCTAGTTATAACCTATTACCTCGAATAAGGTAATAGCTATTACCAGGGCCCCCCGGTATTAACCTATTCCTGAGTACTCAGGAATAGATTTTATATTTTATTTCTTATTGTACCCTTCCTCCCTTTCTCTCTGTTTTGCATCTCTTTCAAATGGATTTTTTTTTTCTCAGGCTTGCGTACAATGTTCCGATGATCTGAACCGATAGTTTTCTCCGCCTCATCGAGGCGATCACGGGCTGGGAGGCCGACAACTCATCTCTGTAGCTGTTGGCAAGCAAGGAAAATTGTTGTTAGCATCCTGCATTGAATTTTACAATTATATTTCAAATAATGCAATAAAAGAAGGCTAAATAAATAAAGATGAAAATAGCTTTCCCAGGGAGACATAGAACAAATTCTGAATACAACTGAACAACACATCTCCTAAAATAAAAATGAAATAAAAGGGCTGAGCACAACAAGAAAGCTTTCACCATCCTTTTTCTTCTTTTTAATTTATCCTAAATGAGGAAAATAAAAACTAAAACAACTCCAGAAAACTCTTTTCATAGTTGTGGATGAACAACCTTTAATTAGGAGAGACTGCAGCATGAAAGACCTCCTCCTAAGTAGAAAATACATTTTAACAAATTCTTAGCAGTTCAATACTACGAGTGTATCTAACCCCACAACCAAATTGGGAATAAGGCTTAGTTGAGCAAAGTAGCAAGGCAGTGTCGACACCACTAGTAGTTGTCGCAACCGGCAGCTCGCGACTGACCTCAAGAGCCTGAGGCTGTCGACGAGCATCCTGCCCGGCGTGAAGTCTGCATGCAGCATATCCCAGAAGTCCTCTCCGTTCTCCGATCACAAATTAGAGGTGAGGGGTCTAATTGGCCGCGAGCGGTAGAGCGGACTCCGCTAATTCTGGACACCGGCGATCCTCAATCTGGACACGTGTAACAGTGCCGTTAGACACTTTTTTTTTATTTATTTAAATCAGATTTGCTATAGGAGTATATGTTCATAATTTTATTACTATATGTTCATAATTGTAAGTTCATAATGTCAGAGCTCTATGTTCATAATTCAATAACTGTACATTCATACTTCCATAACTGTACATTTATAATTCTGTAACTGTACATTCATAATTCAATAACTGTAACTTCATAATTTTCGAAGCTATCACAATTTTAGAGCTCTATGTTCATAATTTTATCACTATATGTTCATAATGTCAGAGCTCTGTGTTCATAATTCCATAACTGTATATTCATAATTGCATAACTATACATTCATAATTGCATAACTGTACATTCATAATTCCGTAACTGTACATTCATAATTCAATAATTGTAAAATCATAATTTTCGAAGCTCCATGTTCACAATTTTAGAGCTCTATGTTCATAATTTTATCACTATATGTTCATAATTGTAAGTTAATAATGTCAGAATTGTGTATTTATAATTTTATAATTTACATTCATAATGTCATAACTGTACATTCATAATGTCATAACTGTACATTTATAATCCCATAGTACATTCATAATGGCACAAACGAATAACGCCGTTAACGGCGAGACAAAATCAAATTTTTTTTTTTAAAACTGCAATGACGCGTTTTTCTTAAAAACGATGTCGTTTTAGACTCGTGTCCACAATGCATTGTGGACACGAGTCCAGGGCATAATTTGCCACGTTGGAATACAATTTCTAAAGTCTATTCCTTCCGGAACGAAATAACAGAATACAATCCCTATTATATTCCTTACCTATTCCATTCTTTATGGAATAACATTCATATTCCCCAAATTGATTCCGTGAACCAAACGGGCCATTAGTCTTTCTCTACTCTCCCCCTATCTCTTTATATTGTTTAAAGTGAATTATATTTTTGGAAGTGCAAAAATATTATTAAATGGTAGAAGCCATTCAAATTCGGCCCATAAATAAAATCCAAGCCCGTAAACTTGTTCATATTGGATCAGATCCATCCACAAAAATAACTCAGACGACAATCGACTTCAAGTTTTTTCATTCCATTAAAAAATATTCTCCATGCCAATAATAATCAAGAATAGACATATCCAACTCAAATGATCATACTCAACACAAAACCCTCTCACAAATAATGGTGCACAAATTACATGGAAGAAACAATAAATTAATAAATGATTTAGAAAGAAGAAGGCGCCGGCGCCGGAGCCGGCGAATCAGCTATAAGATTTTCAATACCGCCGTCGCCGGAGGCTGCAGCACCACTGCTCAACAGTTCAATCATGGCTCGGTGGGGGCTCTTCCTCTGTCTCTGACAAAGGTCCGGCAAGTACACTCCTGAACATTATAATTTCACACAAACAAAATAATTAATTACATAAAATGTAAAGAAATTAAAGATGGAAAGATGAAGAGTGTATGTTAGTGACGTGTACCTTCGCCGGCGGCCATGTTGAAGTAGAGGTCAACGATGTTGGGGCAGTTCTGGTAACACGCCGGAGAGCAAAGCTTGGCGGTGAACAGTGCCTCCAGCAAAGAATCCGATGAAATCCCGACGCTGTTCCGATCAACCCCGCATGCATTCACGCACTCGTCGGATTCTATGTGCTCCGCCATCTTTCCGAAAAAAACCTCCGACGTCTTACATTGGTACTCCACCTTCCCGTCGCCCATCGCCGAGTTCTCCAACAGACACCTCTTCCCCGACGACGAGATCGAAAACGCGCAAACATTCACACCCAATTCCTCGCATATAATCTCCCCTAATAATCATCAAAAAAAAAAAAAAACATTACTCATCAGTAACGAACACATTATCACCATGCATGCATGCAAAACATGCATCAATCTTATGGTTTAATAAGTCAGATAGAATAAATGGGGCAAGATGTAAATGTCATAGGACTGAAAAAAAATATATATGAATGGAAAAAGAGAAAATCTAACACGTACCGAGAGTAACATGGATGAGGAGAGAACAAGTGAAGAACAAAATGAAAGAAAGATTGAGTGAAGAAGCCATGTTTGATGCTTAATTGTATATAGTTTCTGGGTTTTTTGGTGGAAGAAATGAGATGTGTTTTGTTGGGGGATCAGAGAAGAGAGAGAGAGTGATATGAAGTGTGTGAAATGGTTTATGGGTGATAGCAGTGACGATGGGAGGTGCCTAAATATAGACGTTGCAAAAACTAAAGCTATAATTGCTGTGAATATATGGATTCCCTGAAAGTTCGTTTGATTTGCACAAAGTGGAATGATGGATGGCAACTAGTAGTAGTAGGTCATCCATGGCAACCTTCACCCTTAGTGGAGCCCATGCATTGCTTATGCTATAATAATAATAATAATAATAATAATAAAATTTAAATATTTGAGTTGACAATAATAATGGGAAAATGGTATGTTTAAACCTAATTTTAGATCTACTTATTTTCATTGGTGCGTATCAAAATTCTGTTAGATTAGTCTTAAAAAATACTCTGATCTCTTAGTTCATTTTAAATACTCAATTTACTATTCATTAATCAAATCAATTCTTTGTTTTTTACTTATTTTCTTTTACTGATTTTATAATTTTTAAATTTAATTTTTTATATGTGTAATAATACTTTTAATATAGTAATTTTTAAATATATAACTTAACAATTGATTAGTAAGTAATTCTAATATGATATTACATAAATGAGATAGAGTAATAAATATGGTTTTATGTCATATTTGAGTGAAAATTCTTCTACACTTTGACCATAACGTTTTTTTTTTTTTTTTTTTTTTTTTTTTTATCATCACCAACAACATGTAATTCAAGCAAAAAAAAAAAAAATCTAATTTTTTTAAAAAAAGAAGTGATTGAATAGATAAAGTATGATTTTAAATTGTACTAGAAGGTCGAATCTATCAAACAAGATATTATTATATAGCGAAATTTATATCATCTTCATTCTTAAATAGTGACAAAAGATTTTTCTTGTCATCTAAAAAAATCTAAATTTCTATAAATAAAATATTAAATAATTTAATTTGCATGTTGAGTTGGTTGGTGCCTTCTTAATTTCCTATTGATGCCTAACAAATTGAAGACGTGTTTCCATATTGTTCAAAGTCAGTTTTAAAGTTTCAGAGTTCAACGTTTAGAAGTTTCTACAATATTCTTGTCGCGTTTTTTTTTTTTAAAATAAAAAATAAAATTTCGCAGAAATCACACAGTCATTTTCGTTCTGTTAATTATTAGCATTTTATGGTTGAACGCAGCTTTTATTTTTCTATACTCTGTCGGTTTTTCTTTGACCTCCCTCAGAGATATTCATTAAACACAATTTGTTCACGCAAGTTTATTATGCCGAATATGAACGTAACTAACTTCAATTGCGTTGACCATATATATAATATATAAACATAAATATACAATCTAACTATTAGTTTAGATTTTAGTTGAAGTAAAACACATGTTTTAATCACGTGAGGAATATATATATATATTCTTAATGCGGTGTTTTACTCACGTGAGCAATATATATATTCTTAATGCTTCTTTTCTTTGCTTTAATCTGCTCTTATGTATATATATATAGGGGAGATTTTATCTAAGATTATGCTCTCAGGTAAAAAATAAAAATTAATATGATACATTAATTTAAACAAATCAATGATTGATGATTGCTGAAAAATAAGAAAAAATGACACGTATCAATTTTATAGATATTGTACAATAATTATAAAATTTAAGCTATATTTTTTTAAACTAAAATTCTTAACTATTAATGGATCTTGTTGAACTACTTTTTTTACGTTCTCAATTTTACACTAATTACTTAAAAATAAATAAATACGCGGGTCTCACGTATGTACGTCTCAAAATCTATTATTCTATTGTGTTAAACTAATTACTTAAAAATAAATAAATACGTGGGTCTCACGTACGTCTCAAAATCTATTCTTTCATTCTTTATTTTAAGGATGCAAATTAAACCAATTCCTGCATTGAGGTGGGCTCTATTGATTTCAGAAAATCTTGTACAGAGTCCACAACGTGCTCAAAACGTTTCGATTGAACACGACCATTAAATAAATTTGTGTGTCTATTGTGAATAAAGAAAATTTGAATTATATATAATATTATTATATATTAAAATTCAAAATTTTAAATTTTAGTTATAAATAGTATTTCTCCAATTGAATGTCTTGAACACTCCATTAAAAGTAGTTCAAAATTTAAGTGGCTTGATCTTCAAATAGCTTATATGTTTGTTCTTCATTGAAGGGCCTCCGAACTTAAATTTTCAATAGAGATTTGCATCGATTGGCATGATCTTAATGAATGTGGCTTTTACTTTTAGAATCATTTTATTGTGATCTCTGAATAATATTTTCAGCATGTTTACATAATGATTTTTAGGATGAATGAGAACTCTTTTTTATAGTTAGCATAATTATTATAAAATAGATTTGAATCAGTCAAAAAATTAAACTGTACTATTTTCTTTTTACAATAACTTGTAAAATTTCAACTTAACACAAATACATATAATTGCATGTCAATTACCTTGTAGTCTAGTGGTATGAAGTGGGCAAATTATGCCCTGGACCCGTGTCCACAATGAATTGTGAACACGGGCCCAAAACGACGTCGTTTTTCAAAAAAAAAAAAAAACGCTTCATTTAGTTAAAAATAAATAAAAATAAAAATCGCGCGTGTTTTGCCGTTAACGGCATTATTTTTTTGGATTATGAATGTACAGTTATGCCGTTATGAATGTACAGTTATGCAATTATGAAATTATGAACACAGAGCTCTAACATTATGAACTTACAATTATGAACATATAGTGATAAAATTATGTCCATGGAGCTTTAAAATTGTGAATATAGAGCTTCGAAGATTATGAATGTACAGTTATGGAGTTATGAATCTACAGTTATGAGATTATGAATGTACAGTTATGGAATTATGAATGTACAGTTATTGATCGAATTATGAACAAAGAGCTCTGACATTATGAACTTAAAATTATGAACATATAGTGATAAAATTATGAACATAGAGCTCTAAAATTGTGAACATAGAGCTTCGGAAATTATGAATGTACAATTATGGAGTTATGAATGTACAGTTATGGAGTTATGAATGTACAGTTATTAACATATTGTAATAAAATTATAAACATGTACTCCTATAATGAAGCGGTCTGAAATTTAAAAAAAAAAAAAAAAAAGAAAAAAAAGAGAGATAACAGTGCCTAACGGCACTGTGCATGCTGGACACGGGTCCATAGCATAACGATTGCATGAAGTGACTTCCTCATATAGAAAGTCATGGTTCGAGCCTCAATGTGGGTGATATTGACTCAATATTCGTAGAGATCATATTATGATTGAGTCTATATAAAAGTTAATACCCTTTTGAATACCAGTCAACTTTGATTTAAAAACTCTTTAAAAGTTTGAATTGAATACCGGTACTTTTTATAATCGTTAAAAGTCTTTAAAATTTTATAAAAGAGTTAATTTTATTTTTGGTCTTATATTTATTGGTGACTTAGCTTTCCACTTTTTTTATTTTATTTTATTTTTTCACAACATCCCTTGTTGGTCCTAGTATTATTGTGGCATGAACATTTTTTATCCTCCGTCAATAAACCTGTTTAAATAGCGTTAAATATAAGCGCATTTCAATCTATTCGGTTCTAAATGTTAATTCTTTTTTTTTTTTGTCCTAAATATATATGTGTTATTTTATTGCTATGGAGGCTCAAGTTTAGGAGGCGTTGTTGCGGAGGTGCTGACTGCAATTGAAGAAGACATGGGGCTCTATATATGAATTAGGGATTTTTTTAAAATAAAATATAATGAGTTAACTCATTTTGTATAAAATGATCAAAATGTTTTCGTATTTAACATTTTGATCATTTTATACAAAATGATTATGCTAACTATAAAACATTTTTTTAAAGTAAAGATTGAAAATAAAATGAAAGCTATAAATTTAGGAAAAAAAATGTAATTAACTTTTTATAAAAACATGATACGCCCCGTATAAAGAATCCTGCGAATATCCAGTAATCCAACCTGGTAGAAACAACAAATCGATCATGTCCACACAATATCCAAAACAAAGTGTCATAACCAATCTCCATTAACAATTTGGAGAGCTGAGGCCTGAGCGAGAGAGAGAGCATGGCAGCAAAACCAGTTCTCAACACCTTCTTCTCGCCCTCTCCTCCTCTCTCTCGTCTCTGTCCTCCACATTCACATACTCTCCCAACCTTCACCCATGCCAAGAACAAGCCACCCATCCTCAACGGCGGCGCCGCCTCCAAGCTCCGCTGCAATGCTGTGGGATCAGAGCAGGCCGCTACGGGGACTAAGAAGCAGAAGAGTAGATATGAAATGGTGAATTTGACTACTTGGCTATTGCAGCAAGAACAGGAAGGCAATGTTGATGCGGAGCTAGCCATCGTCCTCTCCAGCATATCTCTGGCCTGCAAGCAAATCGCGTCGCTGCTGCAACGCTCCAACATCATTAACCTCACCGGAGCTCAGGGCACCGTTAATGTCCAAGGTGAAGATCAGAAGAAGTTGGATGTTATTTCCAATACGGTACGCTAATTAACTCCCCGGCACTATCATTCGCGAATTTGCGTAATTTGAGCTTGACCTAATTTGGTGCTTTAACGCTGCTTGTTAGTTGTTCTGCAATTGTCTGAGATCGAGTGGGAGGACCGGCATTATAGCATCGGAGGAAGAAGACGTGCCGGTTGCAGTTGAAGAAACTAACTCCGGAAACTACATTGTGGTTTTCGACCCCATTGACGGATCTGCTAACATCGATACTTCCTTGACAACAGGATCCATATTCGGGATCTACAGTCCAGATGAGCAATGCCTTTTCGACATTGATGATGAAGATTCCACGGTAATTCTGCTGCACTTTGATCACCATGAAAATCCCATTTGCTTCAAGTTTACTCAACACTTATGGCCTGTTTAGTTCCCTGAACAAATTTTTGAAGGAACTAAATTTCTTAAAAGCCGAGGAAAATTGAATTTGGTTATCATTATTATCATGGAAGATTATTCCTTTCAAACAATGGAATTAATCTTTCTAATTACAATATCTCGCAGCTAGACCCAGAAAAGCAGAAGTGTATAGTGAATGTCTGCCAGCCGGGGAAAAACTTGGTGGCTGCAGGATACTGCCTCTATTCCAGTGCAGCTGTATTCACACTATCTCTAGGGAAAGGGGTTTATGCATTCACCTTAGACCCTGCCTATGGCGAATTCGTTTTGACACATGAAGACATCAAGATACCTAAGACTGGGAAAATCTATTCCTTCAATGAGGGGAATTATGAGTTGTGGGATGAGAAGCTAAAGAACTACCTTGCTTACTTGAGGACACCGGGCGCCAATGGCAAGCCATATTCTGGGCGTTACATAGGATGTCTGGTGGGTGAAATCCATAGAATGTTGTTGTATGGTGGCATATATGGGAATCCTAAGAACATCAACAGCAAGGATGGGAATCTGCGACTCTTGTATGAGTGTGCACCGATGAGCTATATTGTGGAGCAAGCCGGTGGAAAAGCTATAGATGGTTACCAAAGGATACTTGACATCAAGCCTGATAAGGTAGATTATAAATTCATATCTGAAATTTTTGAATCATAGTATAAGTAATGAGCATATAAAGCGGGAAAAATCACACAAAAATACAACTTATAATCTCATTTTACTATGTGTTGCAGATTCATCAGCGTACTCCAATATTTGTTGGAAGTCCAGAAGAGATTGAGAGGCTAGAGAAGTACCTGGCTTAAGTGTTTCTGTTTGATAGATATTGAATTTATGCAGTAAACAGTAGGCAAGGTATGGTGCACCTGCCTTTCAATACTTCAAAATGTGCTAAACATAGTAGTATAGAACATAGATGAGCATTAAATTCAACATCAATCAGTAATTGTTCATAAATCTTGTCAGCAGCCTAATTTGTTGCAGCACTTTCTTAGAACTACTACTATAAAACATATTTGTTATATTACAACTTATGTATGGATACAATGTTAGTCATATCTATCCAATATCCATATCCAAGTCAACTTTCCACAGCTTCTGTTGATCCATTGATCTTCCAAAAACGTTTGTCGCAGAAGAAATGAATACTTCAATTATGGTGATTCCTCTGATCCATTGAGCTTCCATAAACCTTTACTGCAGAGGAAGCAAAACCCTAATTAAACTCTGCTTTCACTTAGAAATCAAAACAATGGTGAAAAATCAGGCAAAAGTAGAAGTTACCAGGACTTAAGATCTTGATACATTTAGTAACAGACTTCACTGTTGTGACAGCATCTGGATCTGTAAAGCAAACAAGAATATTTTTAAACCATTTGGGAACCACCCTTCAACAGAACCATTTTGTATATCCAACTGCATAATTGAGTATTTCTTGGTTACCTGTTAAACCAGTGTCCTTTGCAAGGACTTCAGTAACTGTTGATGAAATCTGAGATGTAAATTGGTTGGCTCCCATATCAACATCTCCTGATTTATTTGGTGAACTGTGGATTAAACATGAAACATCATCTCAGATCCTGTAAGTAGATTTCAAATAGTACAGAAATGGATAGAGAAGGTGAGAGTATTTACTCTGAAAGGGGTTCTGGAGAAGAATACATGTCTTGTTGGGGAGAGCAATAATTTACTCCATCAAGATCAAAGTCAACCAACAGTTCAGAAAGATTAAAATCTGCTCCAAGAGCATCAAAAGTAGCTAAATCCAAGTCAAACATCTCTCCTTCATCAGATTCAGAGGTCGAAGCCCCACCAACACTCAGTGCATTTGAACAAGATGGCATGTCAGAGGTATCAAAATCTAGCCTTCCCTTCACATGATCCCTTTTGGCAGGCTTCAAATTTGTCTTAACTGGTGACAAAGTAGAAATGCAATGGTTTCTTTCAATAGAATAGTAGCCCATTTGTTTGGAAGGGCTCACTCTAATTGTTTCAGAAGAGATGATCATGCAGTTAGAGGATACTAATTGCTGGGGAGTAACATTATTAGCAGAAGTAGCAGTAGAACTAATTTCAACTGGTGAGATGGACTTCTCTGTTTGAGAGGAAGATGCACGGGGCGGTGTCTTAGGACCAGAAGAATTTCCCACAGGGGAATGATTGGCCTGATTAAACAAACATTTAGCAACATTAGACCCTTGGACTGCTGTTACATTAGACACATTATGCTGGACTGATGATGGAACTGCAGAGATTCTGAGATGATTCTCCTGACCATTATCTGCATTGCTTGCTTGAGCAGTTGCCTTGGCATCTGCAATAACAGTAAAGTCAACATTTTTTTCAAGAATTGTCATACATACAGTACACAAAGAAGACATTTCATTTCATTTTACCTTTCAAAGGCAGTTGGTTGGCAGTTAAACTTTTATGAGATCTCTTGGCAGCAGAAGTAGACGGGGCATCCGATATGGAGCGCTTCCTTTTTGCTGCGGTGGGATCTGTAGATGGAGTGGAAGAATAATTGGGATCTGCACGAATAGTAGAGGGAATTGATGCTGGCATCATAGTTGGAGTATTGTACACTGAATAGCCACCTGACAATATGCATTTTCCTCATATGTAAGTAAGATTGCAACACCAATTACTCATTTCTATTCAACACACAAGAACACCATCCTATACTTTTTCTAAATCTCTTCTTCTAGCAAGTAGAATAACAAACATTTGGTATACTAAACAAATGATCTGCTCGATTACATTCAACCAATGAAAGAATCAATAAAATTTTGGAGAGTTGAAGCTAAAATTGTGTACCTATTGGAACTGGAGGAGAAGAACCAAGGGGAAGGGGAGTGTTGTGGTTAACGCCAGCATTGTAAGCATTCATGGCGTCCTGCATTCCCTTGAGCAAATTCTGAAGCCGAAATTTCTCTTGCTCCATATGTCGCCTTTCTTGATCCATAAACAATTTATGCTCCTTCAGACGTATATACTCATCCAGCAATTCCCCCAAACTTAACAGCTTCGGTGACTGTTAGACAAATACACATCAACAAAAAAAAAAAAAAAAAAAAAAAAAAAACCTAGAAACACAAATCATATAAAATCAGAAGCATGCTAGTACAGAAAACCTCATATACTTACATCTTGGACGGGGGATTTGGAGAGGAGATGTGGAGCTTCGGACCGGAAGGCCGATCTGGTTTTGGGGAGATTGTTGTCGGCGAGGTAACAATCGACGAGGAAGGCCACCTGCGCCTGAGTTACTTTCCCTTTGCCAAGCTGTATGTTTTCTCCCGCCTTCCTTGACCTGCCGCTCTGCTTCCCCATTTTCTCTCTCTTTCTCTCTCTCTCTCTATCGCTCTAAGCGTTCAATGCAGTAAGGGAAAAACAAAGCAAAATGCAGTGAGAGATTGTTCACGGAGATCTGTAAAAGAATGTAATAAAACGAAGAGAGAACATATAATAGCGGGAGATGTATGAAAAACGCGCGGTTTTGAATCTTTTTTTGCGCCAAATTGTAGCTCAACCCATTTTAGCTTCATAGATTCATTTCCCTCTCAGCGTTTGTAAATTTTAATGAGGGGGGATTGTCGGTTTTGCCCTTATATCAACCCAACCGGTCCGGTTCAACTCAAATTTATAGTTGTGCTTCCCGCTTCTGAGATCTTTTCCCGTCAAACAAAACAAAATTTCATTTCCTTTTTTTTTTTTTTCTTGGTAACAAAATTTCACTTTTTAATAAGTACTCCGTAGTTTTGTCTGTAAAATAACAAAGTAAAATATTTATAAAAATTAATGACTGCGATATTTTACGCTCCATACAAAGTAAATGATGGTTTATACCGATATAGAATGGCAAATTGGATTAAATATTAATTACAGTACATAAAATCTGAAAATAATACAACTTAATACAGAAAATCAATTTAGCTTACTTTTTAATTACAATCATTAAATTAATAAATACATCACATATGACCCCCCCAAAGGTAAATTTGTAAAGCATATTATATAAATATGTAATGATAAAATTTTTCTTCTTTGGTCAACTTATAATGGTCATAACATATTAAGAATCCACTGTGCACAATATACACATTTAAAAAAAAAAAAATCAAATTTAATTTAATTTTGTAAAATTATCCAAATGTGATACTACCCTAATTTCGTAAAAAGAGTCGCTGGTCTCGGTTATTGAAACTTTCAAATAATTTTAATCCCATTCTAATCTTGTTGAGTAGCGAGCATAATAAAATCAGCAAGCTAAACCCGTTTTGACAGCTCTACTTATTTAGAAGTTTAATTTCAATTCTAAAACCAATGATCCACTACCATGAATATCGCACACAAGCCCTCAATCACTCACCAATTCCGTCCAAAAAAATGTCACACTGTAAATTGTAATTATACATTTAAAAGTGGAATCTTGTTCATCTCATATAAGGCATATTATATTAATCAATGAAATAACTCTGTAACAAAAGTAATATTGGAGGATATGGTCTGCCCAAGTCCAGCCCATTGGACCTGGACTAAAGCCCATGGATCAATCGAAAAGAAGATTAGAGTGCAAGGGGGGTTATCACTTATCAACATAGAAATGATAGAATTGAAAGAGGATAGAAATTGATTTGCAGAAGATGAAGCCGGGGATTCTTCTTCTTCATCACTCATGGAGCGTTGGAGCTCCGCTTCTTCTTCGCACCTCTCATTTCCCCCAGAGGCAGAAGCATGTTCGGCTGGTTGTATCCGCTGGTGCAGTGGAGTCGGTGAATCAAGGCGAGCTGACGGCGAGGGAGAGAAGACAGCTGAGAAACGAGAGAAGAGAGAGCAAGCCGGCTAACAACTGGAGAGAAGAGGTGGAAGAGAGGCTTATCAAGAAGACTAAGAAGGAGACTAAATCCTGGAAAGAAGAGCTCAACCTCAATCACCTCGCAAGGTTGGGCCCCCAGTGGTGGGTCGTTCGGGTCTCCAGAGTTAACGGCCATGAGAAAGCTGAGCGCCTAGCTCGATCCTTGGCTCGCAACTTCCCAGATATCGACTTCCAGGTACTTCTCCATTTCTGATGTTCCTTTTTAAACAATCTGTGAATTCTTCCTCTTCGCTTCACTGGAAAACATGCTGAATTAAGAGAAATTATTGTGGTGAAATGTAAATCTTAACAATTTAATCCTTAATTTATAATTGTATTCAAGTTAAGAACATTGAATAGCGTGCTTGGCACAATCACCAAGTTAGTATCATTACAAATCCAAGCACTTGAATCTGATGTTTAATACTGTCTGAGATTAATTGAGCAATAAGAAGGCATAAGGTTATTGAATGCATTTTTATGTTTATGATTTGGTTCGTTTTATTAGTATAAGAGATTGTTTGGATGTCTGAATGCATCACTGGAATTCTATCCCAGGTCTACATTCCATCCGTGCAAACCAAAAGGATATTAAAGAACGGAACACTCTCTGTTAAACCAAAATCGCTTTTCCCTGGATGTATGTTTTTGAAGTGTGTTTTGAACAAGGATATACATGACTTCATTAGAGAATGCGATGGCATTGGAGGCTTTGTGGGATCCAAGGTTGGAAATATGTAAGCATTCACTGCTTTATTACTAGGAGCCTTTGAGCAAGGTGATTTCATGTTATCAAATATTATTATTTTCCTTTCACATTGGAAGGTGCTCCATTTATTTGGGAGGTGATACTGATTCCATGACTGGCAACGTGGTTTGTGGTCAAACCCACATAAACCAGGATGTCTGCCTATCTATTGATTTCCCGTGGAATGTGTTTCATCATCCCTGAAAATCGTGTTTTACCATTGCAATGAGCAAAAGGCATTCAAATAAAATATTTGTTTATATTTATGAAAATTTCTGGGCAGAAAATGTGATAAGGCTTTTTCATACAATGAGTGGATGTAGCTGACATCCTTTTTCAAATTCCCTGTATTTGAAAGTGAAAACATATTTGAATCATTTGCAGAAAGCGACAGATAAATAAACCTAGGCCTGTAGATGAGGAAGATATGGAGGCGATATTCAAACAAGCAAAGGAAGAGCAAGAGAAAGCTGATCAAGCCTTTGAAGAAGAGCAGCGAGGAAAAGAAGCTCCAGAAGCTACAGTATCAGTTAGTCCTGAAGCTACAGTACCAGTTAGTCCTGAAGCTACAGTACCAGTTAGTCCTACAAAACGGGGACGGCGGGGCAGAAAAGCTTCAGAACCTCTTGGAGCAGACAATAAGCTTTTAGTGCCAGGGTCAACCATTCAAGTTGTATCTGGAACCTTTTTAGGATTTTCGGGCATCCTCAAGAAGCTTGACAAAAAAGCTGGCCTGGTATTTTTTTTTCCCTTCCTCTCTTTCATCCCCTTCCAAAGAAATCAATAGTGAGGGTAGATTTTGAATTTGCCCTCCTGGGTTCTCATATTCTCATGCTCTCCCTTTCTGCCCTGTGTTCACCTATCAATTTACACACAGATACACAGAGAGGTGGAAGGAATTGGGTTGAAAATCAACAATCAACAATTTGACATAATTTAATGAAGATTGACATTTTCTTTATAATTTTGATAGAAATGAACAGGTTAGCTAGGAAAGTAAATATTGTTTGATAAACTTTTAGAACTTATGTGAAAATTGTTATTGCAGGCAACGGTTGGATTCACACTATTTGGCAAGGAAACTTTAGCAGATCTAGATGTCAAAGAAATTGTTGCCGAGGTTGACTAATACTCACAACCATTCATAATCATCATTTTCTTGGTGGTAAGCATCTTATTTGAAATTAGTCATGCATACCCATGTAGGAAGCAGGACGGGTATGCATTCTAATCTGCCTGCTAGAATGTGACACTTATAACCAATAATTGAGAACTAAATATTTAGCTTTTCATAGGAAAAGACTGAATTATCTTGACACCTCACCATCTGATGAGAGGTGGTGCCAATTGACAATTCATTATGTCATTTCAGGAACAAAATGTGCATCTTGAAGAATTTAATACATATACAGACATGTTTCAAGATTTTATCAAGGTCTGCTAGGATTTAATGCTAGCTATGGCTGCACCGAGACTGGAAGTGGGAAGGAACCCATTTTGTTTCTCATGTGTCGGTTCACAGATCCATAAAATCAATGGTGCAAGGATCATTTTTATGCAAGGGTCCAGCTCTAGCAATGAAGGTTGAAAGAAGAGTATATGTACCATGAGTGATAGAGAACAGTTTGTGTGAAGTCTGAAAGATCCATGCAGTCTGTAAAACAGGAAACACAAGAAAGATACTCATTGACAGGGTTCCTGGAAAATGAAAGCTGCATTGTGGCATTGTGGAAAATTATAAGATCAAAGTCTCATGCTACATTGGATTATAGTTATCCTTATTTCATTTTTTTTTTTTTTTTTTTTTGGGTGACCTTATACTCGATTATTTAAGGCCTGCTACTAATAAACTAAAATTTAGCTTGAGTACCAACTAATAATTAGCTTGAGTACTTCTTTTTTTTTTTTTTTTAAGTAAAATGGAAATATATTAATTAAGATCCAAGTTCAGAATAATAGAAGGAAAAGAAACAGAAAAATAGTAAAAGTGAACGAACTAATTTGCAGATTGTTTAGCAAACAAAGTTTGAAAAAACTTAATCGGGGCTAGTTCTCTAACATCATTTAGGATTAGATCAAAAGAGACTACAAATTAAGCGTATGAATCACAATGATAACTTGAAGGCAATTAGTTTTCACTTGAACGTGGTCAAAATGGAGTTCCTTTAGCCATTTTAGAGCTTCGCGGACAGCAATACCTTCAGCTTCTCCCGGTAAAGGAGCCGGTGGAATCTCTCGGCACAAAACCAAATCCCATCTTTCTGTTATTCTGATCGAGGGCAACATCAACATTCAATTTTATCCAGCCAGGTTTCAACCAGATTTCAGTGTAACTAAGATTTACAGGAGGTTGATCAGTTTCATAATTGGCTGTGCTCCAATTGTGAAGGTAAGCTTGTGCACTTTAGGGGGCTGAAAGCATTTATAGTTCCAGGTTTGGTTTTTTCGTTTCTAGCCTCTCAAATTTTCTAGCAGATTGTGATTAGCAAGCAGAGATCATCCTTTGGTTTGTTGGTGAACATTGTTTCCAGCCAATTGAGAAGAGAGTTATTACTGTGGCAGTCAATTCCACCAATAATATCCCAACAATTTCTGGCCATAGATCATCTCACAAAAAGGTGAAAAGCATATTCATCCTCCATGTTGCAAAGCTGGCAAACAGTATTAACATCAACATGCTTTGATCTCAGAAGTTCATAAGTAAGAAGAGATTGTGAGCAGAGTTGCCAAAAGAAATTTTTGATCTTTAGTGGTAATTTTGATCTTTTGTGGCTATGGCCTATGGCTTAACATTAATCTTCATTTTTCAATTTTTCTTTTCTTTTTAGAAATTGTGAAAAGAAAAAGAAATGATAAACTTAAGAGACTCAACAAATAAACTTTAAAAAAACCTCCTAAAAATTAAGGTTAGAATTGTTTAGGCTAAACTTATTAATTAATTGATAATAATAAACTCAAATAGTTATAACAATCACTTTCACTCTTTCCATTTCCATTTCCTACAATTAACACTGAATTTTTATAAATTTTTAAATTATAATTATTTACTTTCTTTAGCATTTTATTTTATTATAATTTTAAAACTACCACATCATTCTTTTAAAATTCATCAGCTATTTAAAATAATTTTCAAATATTTTAATTTTATTTAAAGTCCATAACTAATCTCGAAATGCTTCCACAGGCAGTGTCTTGTGTTCCTATCTAGAGAAGGGAAGGAATCATACCCAGATAACCTCATTAAAATGAAGCATATATGATTATTATATGAAATTTAACTTATATATAAAAGAAGAACAATTAAAATAAAATAATTCAAAAAAAAAAAAAAGAGAGCAACTCAGATTGTTGGTCCCCAAAATTTTCTTCACGGGAGAATCATAGTGCAAGGATAACGATTTGGTATTCCTCATTGATGCTCTCTTAATATTCGAAAAACAAAAACAAAAACAAAACGATTTAAAAAAAAAAAAAATCGGAAAGAAAGGATTACGATATTGATCTCAGAAAGAAAAAAATGTTCAGCTTCAATTCCAAGATGGAATTTCAGATAGATAACGCAGATTATTCTTCAGCCATCACAGATCAATGAACAAATGTTATCCGAAAACAATAATAGAAAAATAAATGTAGCAAAATAATAATCGTAAAATTGCCTCGCCATTGAAAGTATGAAAAAATAGATCCCATGGCTCAGCCGGAGATTTATCGGCAGGCCAGTAAATGGAGCATCGCTCACAAACTATGATATAGGGAGAAATGGTGAGATGGATCTCAGAAAAGTGAAATACAATAAGATTGATTAATCTTCATGTTTTGAAGATTCAGATTCGGGAAAATTACTCCTCATTGATCCAATACTGAAAAGCGAAGAAGAAAAAAAAAACGGAAATAGATGCTTCGTGGAAATACTTGAGATATTCTTGTTAAAAATCTGCAGGTAAAAAAAAAAAAAAAAAAACACACCAGAAAACAATGCTTCAATTCTATGAGACGGTACTATGAACAAGCTGCAGGTGTTTATATATAGGAGTCTCCAGGAAGACGACGGCGTTTGATCGAATTGTTTGGAGAAGTGATATGAGACGGCATAAACCCTAGATCTTCATGGGATAATGGTCCGGCCCAAATGAGGTTTTGGATCTCAAAAGGCAGTGTTGGGCCGCCCGTTTACCTCCACTTCAAAAGAATTGCATTAAATTGTAAATTGTTTATAATCTTTTCTTTTTTATTAATAAATTAATCAATTGATTTTTATTTTGATATTTATAATAATAATCTAACTGAAAGCTATTGAAAATTAAATCTCCCCCACATTTACCCCACACATGTTCATTCCTTTATGTGACATTTTGTGGTGAATTAAAATCTATTTAAAAAAACAAAATTAACCACACAAAAATAATCACATCAAAAAATGACTATAAATTAGAAAATTAGAATGGGGAACATTTTTCTTATTATCTAAATCTAAACATAATAAGTATCAATTCATGTTATATCACTACTTATGTCCGTTTTTTTTTTTAAATACATTATGCTATAAGAGTTTAACTATATAATTTTTAGACAAAAATATCTTTGTAGTTATAACTTATGTTATCTTTCCCGTTATTATTTTAATGCACACGCACACACAATATCTGTTCTTATATTTTTTTAATGGTAACAATGTATGTAGATATTATATAATGGAGGAATATAAAAAAATCATTTGAATTTTAATTAAAGGTTATCATAATTATATTTAGTAAATTGATCATATCTAAAATTCTTACTTTAATAATATTAATTATATCATAATTATAAGTTGCAGTATTGCAAGATCACTTCTAGAAGTTATTAGCAATTATAATTGGTAATCACCAATTTATTATTTATTACAAAGATACTTGAAAAAAAATTATACTTTTGGACCTTAAAATTTAACTTAAGTATAATATAAGCATTAAATTAAATGTTGTTGCAAATATACTCTTTTTCTTTTAGTGCTACTCTTAATTAGTCATTGAAATGGTTATTTTTTGTCTTCTAGTTACACTTTATAGACCAAAGTACAAAATATAGACAAAAGTGTAATTTTTCTAAGTGATTATCTTCAAATTTCATCCTCCTAAATATGAAACACATTTGAAATATCATACAAATTATGAATTGAAATTATATTTGTTCTGTACACCACAACAATAAAAAGTCCTATACAAATTTAAGTTGGACTACTCCTATTAAATCAACCACTAGAAATGGCCATTGTCTTTTAAGAGGATCGTTTAAAATATATGGTCTCAATTTGATAATTGAATCGTTGAAAATATATGGTCTCAATTTGATAATATTATAACTTTGAACTAATCAATTTGTATAAACTACAGCCTACATCGAACATCAATCTCCTCCCAAATATTCATGCCAATCCAGGTGGCTACACTCCCTGAAAAAAAAAATTAAATTTTTTTAAAAAAAACTCCCACCGACACTTGAGGGAATATAATTTCTTTTGTAATATAAATACTTAGATTAAGTTATTAATACAATATTTTTTACACAAAGGTGAATCTTAAAGACAGACAGACTGTGGTGGTCTTCCTATGCCCAAATCAAACATTAGAATGGGGCAGATGACAACAAAGTACAGTACTCCGTAAAAGAAAACAACAAATTCCTTTGCAAAATGCAACAGAGCAGAAGTATTTCCATTACAGCATTGAAACAACAAAGCTTTCATATGTGCAAATTTGATCCATCAACACACCCATGAACAATTCTGTATCATCTCCTCTGTGCAGCATAGCATGCCGCCATTAATATCTTCTTCTTTGTAAACAATATGATATGTATACCGCCATTCTCAGTTCTTCACTTCTTCATCAAAACCCTCTTTATGCTGCCTGGATTCTGGGATCTATAAGCCCCCGTTTTTAGGGTATGGAGTCGGTGTGATTTACAACCTATGACTATCATGAAACAAAACCCTATCTTTGTGAAGCAACTTCCGGGATTGGCTTCTTCATAACAAGTTGCTGGCTACTAATTTGATCGTGGGATCTATTACAGATACAACCGGGGAAGGGATTTGCGTAGAAGTTCTCCTCTAATCTGGGTGAATCGTCAATTCCTTCTCTAAGGTATGGAGCTCCAAGCCTATTGGAATGTGAGGCTTTAACCTTAGTAGAAAACTCATTCCAAGAAATATCACCCTTATCCAATGAATCTATCAACTTTACAAAATTTAATCTGCATGGTGAAAATAATTCTGGGATTATTAAGACGACTGGCATATGTTATAATGAAAAAAAGTATAAGGTTAGAATGAGATGAGAGCAAACCTGTGAGGGCTAATGGTCCTTCGGAAACCTTCAAACCTCCTGTGCCCTTGTACTGCCTTTGCCATGTTACCATCATACGTGTAAACAAATACGTCACTTTCAAGGGCTATAATGTAATCCAATGCAGCGAGGCGGTTCTGGTATGGCTTGAAAGGTTCCAACTCTTCCTCTGTTGCGAGTGTTGAGTGTGAAAACACGTTGGGGTATTCTAAGCGGAATGCATCCATGCTGTTGTTACCATAAATTTGCCCTGCAACGATGTATATTTTTGTCGTGGATGGGTACCCCATTGCCTTCAGAAACATGGCCGCTTCCCTCGGGGACATAGGACACCCTCCAAGCAGTCTCCTTTCTTCGCTGTCTATCTCTTTCTCTTTCCAGTGTTGCACATTATACCTCATAACGCGAAGTTCCTCAGCTTCTACTTCAGTCAGATTGTGGTTGCAGCCAGTAAACGCAAGCATGTCCTTTTCGTATCTACACTCCAAAGGAAGTCAGTTAATTAAGTTACCCCTCAAACATTAAACCAAAAACAAAAACCGTGTTAGTTATTATACCTTAAATGAAGAGCAATATACGGATTGTCGTTGTTCTTTAGTCTATTAACCAATTTTTTTCCAAGCTCCTCAATCTCAGGTGTGTACCGAAGAGCCTCATAGTTTGCTCGACAACGAAGCCTCTGAATAGAGGCAGCTAAGCCATTGTTAGCAAGTCTCGAGTCTGAGTGTGTAAATTGGATTACCTTATGTTTCTTTAGCAATGGCAAAATCTCTCCTCTGTAGTAGCTAGCCTGCAGGAATAATACATCAACATTCACTTCCAACCATAACAAAGTGACAGATTTCTGAGCAAAAATCCAGTTTTCTGACCTGTGACCAAGACACAGGCGCCTTAACCAGGGGTTCCACCACTGAATACTTTGCTGGCAAAGATTCAACAATCTCAATATCATCTCTCAAAGCTTCAATGAAGTGCCTCCAGTCAAAGATATCCTTGAAATCACTGCAAAAGCAAAATTTAAAAACTTTGGAGAAAAATGGCAATTCTGAACTGATCACAACTCCACAAGGACTAGAGAATGGCACCTAGTATCAGTCCAAAAAGACTCGTGATCGAGAGAAGGAAGAACCAAAGCGGCATTTAGAATCTTGGCTATAGCAACCATATCACATATCTGCAGGAACCATATAGCTACATTATATTAGCACATAATTCCAGTTCGGTTTAGCAAACACAAAATTTTGCCTCTTCTACTTACTCCTGTTCTCATTTGGTTTAGTCCTCCATTTGCATGAACCAAGATATAATCATTTCTTGCTGGTCTCCCTGAAAGAGTAACAGCCATATAAACGCACCATCCAAAACCAAAATCAAAGCCAAAACCAAAGACAAAAGGTGTAACATACTTATTTCATTCTTTGATCGAGCAATGCATTTATAGTAGTTATCACTGTTTGGTTTCATCCATATTTCTGGGACCTGCCAAAAAATTCCTAATTAAGCTTCCCAAAATGATGAACAGAAACCAGCTGCAACAAATCCTTGCAAAGCATGCATATAGAGCTGATTGGAAGTAAAATAATATGGGAAATAAATTAATTAATTTAATAGTGAATTTATTAACAAGAAATGTCACAACGGTCAGAGTCATAGTTTAACATTTCTAAAGCAACTGCCCATGCCGCCCACTACTTCACGGGTGGGTCAAAGAAGAACACAGAAAACAAAAAACAAAGAACACAGATTTTCTGGAAATCAACCGGAAATAAGTAAAAAACAAAAAAAAAAAATGATTTTTTTTTTTCGAACAGCAAGGATTCCGGTTAAAAATTGAATCTTTAATTAGTAATGTATAAAGAAACTTACAAAAACTTCCTTCATCTGACGTTTGAGAACAACATTATCGCCGGAAGAAGAGGGAGAAGAGTCTGATTCAGAAACGATTTTCTGATGAGCATTCTTGAAATTCTGGAGGACCAATTGGCCATTGTCCGTTAACCTCATCAAGCTTTCATTAACCTCGCCGACATTGCCATTTATGAAGAAGGAGAATTTGAGGAACACAGAGACCATCACCAATGCAAGCAGCAGCCCAAGCACCGACCGCCCCGTGTTCTTCCTCGATCTAAAAGACTGCACAATCGCCAAAATACTGGACACGAATTCCTCTCCTCTATAGACAATTTTCTCCGGCACCCTCTTACGCACCAAAAGGTAGCGAATAGCCGGGTGGTGGGCGCCGGCGCCGCCGCATTTACTACCACTATTGGCATTGCTGTGTTCCGAATCACCAAAATCGCCGGAGAAGGAGCTCTGCGCCTGATCTGAAAGTTTCTCGCCGGCGTTCGGGGCCTCTGTAAAATGACGACGGTGGTGCGTATGGGGGCTTCCGCCGGCGGAGCCGGCAATGGTCGGCATTCTCCCGGAGAGAACAACGCAAACAAAACAACAAAATAGTGCGTTATACGAGGAAACCGATCGCGCTACAAGGCAGAGATCTTTCTAATTTCCTATTGTGTGCCGTTGCTTTGTTTGTGTATAGAGATAGAGATAGAAAGAGAGAGATAGAGAGAGAGAGAGAGAGAGGGAGAGAGAGAGAGAGGGGTGTACGACAATTCTCTCTCTCTAAAAAAAGGTTGTTCTTTAAGCTTGTTCTCTCTCCAGAGAATTTTAGAGAGTATATATAGCATGGATTTCCTCCAATTAAGGAAAGGTTTCATACGAGATTAATATTCCAACTCAAAAAAGGGATGTCTGGTTTTGTTAGCCGCGAAGGCGATTTATGTGAAAATTTATTATTTTTTGCTCTTTTCCGGTTTTCCCTTCCCTTTCATTGGGGGTGATAGACGAAAGTTTCTTGAAGTGACGGAACTGCCCTTGATTTCCGCATATGCATTTATATCAATATTATCGTTTTTACTAGTAATTTTGGTAATGCCTTCTGCAAAACCCTTAGATTCCCAACAAACTAATGCCTTTTTGTTTTATATTTCGTCACGTAAATATTCCCATCAATCAATTATTCTATGTATATATTTATATATAAATATAAATAAATTGTATGAGTTTACGTGGACAATGATAATAATAATTAATATACATCGCAAGACAAGCCGCTTGGTTGGCATGAATAGCTGCCAAGATTAGGGTTGGAATTCAACTTTTAAAAAAAATTTATAGCTATCGGAACCTCTATAAAATGATCCCTCCACAATAATACTAGAACCAGAGAGATATGTTCCAATAAAAAAAGATTAAAAGTAGATTACCACTTATAAATGTAGGACAACAAATGAAATTAACTCTAAAAACCCATTCAATCTTACAATTGTATTTCTAGAACATTTTAGCATAATATTTGAACAGTGAAATGGGTCAATTATACTACATGCAACCTACTTGCATTGTTACATAAGAAATTTAATTAAATGATTAATTTGTTTGGCTTGATGTCAACTACAAAACTTTCTAAGACGTTTCATCGCTCAAAGCTCGCTCGGATCAAATTATTTAAAAAAAAAAAAAAAAAAAAAACAGAAAAAAACTTAGATGCTCAGACCTGTTGGCCGGGGCTTTGAGTGTGGGAAATAAATTTGCAGTTTGAAAGATAAAAACAAATACTTAAATTACCCGAAAATTAAGGATAATTAGATTATTCAGGGCTGAAATTTCTCTTACGTATATAATAATATAATATAACGTTCCCGTTTCGCTTAGCAACTAACAAGGCAAGAAATCGTGTAAGTTAATGTAATTAGCTTAATGATGGAGATACGATTCTTAATCTGGTATTAACATGATATATGGAAGTGAGATTGAAGCACTGAGTATATGATAACGATAGTCGTCGGCATTCGCCGGAGGGTAACAGTCGGCAACTAACGGCGGCGGTGGCGACATTTCATGGCTGTAAGGTCCCGCGTTAGATGATGCAATCATCACCGGGACACGCGTCATTCTTAGTCCCAAGGCCAACCAATCGCCGTCCGTGTAAAATGTCGGCAGCTTAGTTGGCTCACCATATATACATTCTTCCCAAATATTATTTAAATATTGGTGAACATATAATCACAATAAATCTTCTATGTCTGCTACCATACTCTTACTTATCAACACAAAATCAAATATATCCAGATTTGTTTAAATTACTCTTATATTACTTTATTTACAATAATATGTGAATATTCAATATATTTTAAAAATTCCACCCAGTAACCATAATAATTAAGTATTTAAATGTGTATGGATATATGTAAACATGAGATCTATTAGTTTTAGTAAATAAATAAAAAAAAAAAATTACACACACAATGTTACAAGTTCGACTCCCAACATGAATAGCTTATTAAACTCCTCGATTTGAACCAATCAAATTATAAGTAACTTAAACTGATTTACTTCATTGTCTTTCTTTAACTGCTAAATTAAGTCACAATTTGAGGTTTACACCATGTAAACTCTTAATAATGATTGCGAGTTTTTATAGTGACTCAAAATGATCCATAAATAAATAAATAAATAAAACACATATCCAATGAAGTTCCGTGATCCATTTTTATGTACCAAATAAAAAATGTGCTTTTATAGAAAAGGGATCGGAAAATATGTATGTCCCCCCTCCCCCCATTAAAAAAATTATTTCCAAAATAAGTTTTTTTTTTTTTTTTTTTTTGTTTTTTGAAAACCCAAAATAAGTGTTTAATAACATATTCATCACATAATTCATTAAGTAATAAATAAAATGAGGATTTGGAACCGATTTCGTCGGTCCCATATTCATTTCAATTATTTATTTTGTTATTATTATAATATATATATATATATATATATATATATATATATATATATATATATATATATATATATATATATAAGAATTAATTTGTGATACAATTTAAAATTTGAAATTCATGTACTACCCGCCCGAATACTTTTAGAAGTATGGTACGTATCACAATCCAGTGAATCGTATCGGAGCAAGCTGACCTACAGCCTTAATTTCGTTTTGACACAACACGTCGGAGGAAGGGTCTCCATGTTTGCTTCAATTCATCATTAAATTGTGGTCTCATTTATTCATCTCATCAAATATCTCACAATATAATATAAATATTTGTTTGTCTTCTGTACTTTAATTTGTAAAATCAAATAATAATGTTGCTTCTATGCAATGTCCCATTTAATTTTTATTTTTAAAATTATATATTTAGTCTTTGATTTTATCAGATGTGTATGTATACATACGTTATGGAACACAGAGTCCACCGACAAGAAAATTAAAACTTAATTGTCGGTCGATGATGCGTGCGTATGGTGATATTTGTTTTGGTGCATAACAAAAATTCATATTTATTAATTATTACTACCACTATTGTAACATTGCAAAATTTCTTTCTTTTAACAATATTTGGCTAAAAAACCGTTTATAAGTAATTTAACATTTTCTAAATTTTATATGACTCCAAAATTGGGGGAATGAAATTCTTCTAAATATGAACCCCCCCCCCCCACCCCCCACCCAACCCCTCCACACACACACACACACACAAAAAAAAAAAAAAAAAAAAAAAAAACTAAGTAATATATTACTCCGTATTTGCTGAAAGTTTTAGGTTGGTGAATTCCAACCAATGTAATAAGAGAGTATTCCGTGTCAAAACATCGCTCTTAGCTTCTAGAAATGTCGCTCGCCTTTTATAATATTGTCAACAAGATACATGCCAGAAATCCCGTAATGAATGGCTAAGTCAGTCGTGCTACACATCAACACCAAACTACACAACTTGCTAGGTTGGAAGATGATCAGTTCATGTCGAAGAAGTTCATGAATGATACATATATAGAGTCCGTATATCCCGATCACCAGACCACCCCTACTTTTTTTTGTTTTTGTTTTTTTTGTCATTTAATATGTTGTTTATAAATGAGGCTAAAATTATGAAATTATCAAAATTTTTAGAAATTAACATTAATTGAATTAAAAATTATAGCAGATGATTAAATTTGATACTGTCATCAATAAAATTATTTTACTAAATATGATTAAATTAAAAATAAAGAATTAATGTAGTATGTTATGATAGCTGTTTGGGGCACGTACGTTAGATGTTGATCAATACGTACTTGTACTTCCTAAACCATCAAACGATTCCCATGGGTCTAACTTAACCAAGTGCCCAAAAATCATTTCATATCTTCGTATCTTATTCTTTGTCATTTGTAGTATTTATAATAGAACAAAAATAAGTACACTATTTATAGTATGTTAAAACTTTTTTTTTTTTTTTTGAATAAATGACTTTTCTAATGTATTTTTTAGATGATTACGGAAACTTACAGTTATGTAAACCATGTTCATATATAATAACTTGTAAACTATACATGAGAAGTAAATTGCATTAAGAAGACTTGTTCAATGTACTCAACTAAGAAGGTGCCGCCATGAAAATAATGCTCTACTCACTTTATCACTAGTTTTGGGACTTTTCTAATGTATTTTTTCTTACTGGTTTCGCATTGCTGTTGTTTTGGTGCATAACAAAGATTCATATTTATTAATTGAGTTAATACCCAAAATTGTCTTCGACTATAGTGGTTTTTCTCAATTTTGTCCTAAACGACTTTTGGTGACTTAATGTAGTCCCAGAGTTTTGTATTTTTACTCAGTTTCATCCCAGACTTTTGTGTTTTTGCTCAATTTAGTCCCTCATTTGTTATTCCGTCCATTTGTTGTTAAATAAATAGACAATTCAGTAATTTTAATATTGGCATCTCTTTATTCATAGACATGTGAAGTGCGAAATCCCTATTTTTTTACGAATTACTCCCAGAATCACTTCTAATGCTGCGAATATAAAATTTGATTCGTATGTCTGAGAGTAACTCTGGGTGTAATTCGTGTAAGAAAGAGAGATTTCTCACTTCCCAGGTTGAAAGTAAAGAGAGGCCAATATTGATATTATTGAATTGTCCCTTTATTTAACACCAATTTGACGGAATAACAAACGGAGGACTAAATTGAGCGAAACACAAAAGTCTGGGACTATATTAGGTCACCAAAGTCGTTTAGGATGAAATTGAGAAAAACCACTATAGTCGAGGACAATTTTGGGTATTAACTCTTTATTAATTATTATTACTACCACTATTGTAACATTGCAAAATTTATTTCTTTTAACAATATTTGGCTAAAAAACTATTTATAATTAATTTAACATTTTCTAAATTTTATATGACTCCAAAATTGGGGAAATGAAATTCTTCTAAATATGACTTCCCCCCACCCCCTCCAAAAAAAAAAAAAAAAAAAAAAAAAAAAGTAATATATTACTCCGTATTTGCTGAAAGTTTTAGGTTGGTGAATTCCAATGTACTAAGAGAGTATTCTGTGTCAAAAAGTCGCTCTTCTAGAAATGTCGCTCGCCTTTTATAATATTGTCAACGAGACACATGTCAAAAATCCCACTAGGGGCATGTGGCATCCAAACAATGAATAGCTAAGTCAGTCATGCCCCACATCAACACCAAACTACACAACTTGCTAGGTTGGGAGATGCTCAGTTCATGTCGAAGAAGTTCATCA